AAGAAAAAATTACCAGGACTTGAGGTATCTGTCATCGACTGTGTCTGATTAGGTGGCATCCAGCTGCCTGAAGGATGAGGGGACTCTGTGATAGAAGTATTCAACATTGAAGACATGTCTAAACTGTCATCATATGATAAGTCTGTGTATTCTTCATTTTGCTCTACAGGCTCTTCTTTAGGATTCAGCATTGCTTTATTAATAACTTCTGAACTGGATTCTTCAGTGAACTTTCTTTTGACAGGTGTTGGTTCAGGTGATTTAACCAGTCTTGGAGACTCACTGGGATGAGATGAGTATGAAGAATGTGGACTCTCTGTTGATCTTGATTGTACATGTTTGATAATCTTTTTAGAAGGTTTGTGATGTCTTTCAGCAGGTCTTGTTTCTATATGTTCAGTTGTCATTCTTTCCAAAAAACCATTTGAGCCCTCCAATTAAAACCAGATTAGTATTACATGCCTAACAAGCACAAATACAAAAATACTTACAGTGTCAGTGAGACCCTTTACTTTTAAAGTCTCTGCAACTCTCATAAATATAGGAATTTCTTCTTGGCTGACACTCACCTCTCCATAGTACATAAACTGTAATAGATTTTTTAATGCACTATAGTTTACATCTTGCAATATTACAATGGGATGTTTGCAAGGGTTTACTCTGAATAATTCTTTAAAATAAGGACTACACACAGATAGAATGGTCTTGTGGGCTTTCAAGTACTGCCCTTCTGCTGCCAAAGTAACATCAACCAGATCTTCATCTTGTAATAACGAATGAAATCCGGCACTTAAATTACTGTGAAAATTATTCCACGATAAAGAAAATTGTTCACTCTCCATTTTTTATACCAGAATAAGAGTCTTATTTAAAACTGTATCTTCTTTAGCCTTTCTTTCTTGCAGGGCTTCTCAATTTATGCACTATTATTCTTGTGGATTGTATATTTATTTACCATTAATGATAAATGGTTAAAATAATAAAAAAGATAACAATTTTGCATAAAATTAGAAACAAACTCCTGATATTAATTGGATCGGTTCAGATGTCACTGTCTATGGATGTCACTGGATGTCACCCACCATTTCTTTTTTTTTTTGTTTGTCAGAAATCATAGAAATGTACTCAAAATCTATTTAGCCATTTTCTTTTGTTGTTGTTTCAGCATTCGAATTCAAATTTAAGTTTTCATAAATTTGTAACACACCTCTTAATTTTTCCATCAATTTAAAAGCCGAGTTAATTATTTAAAAGAATCTTTAAAAATGCAGACACTTTTAAAATTTAATGACTACTTTTTAGAATTGGTTTGAAGAAGCCCTAATAGATGTAAGTGTTCAGTGAGTACTGTTTATCTTAGATTCTTATAATGTAAAATACTTTTAAATCCATTAGGCTAATAACATGATAAGCAAAAGGAAATTAACAATCAATAGTTCTCTCAATGAGTGGTCAGTAATTAAAATAATTAATCCAAAGGTTATATAAACAAGGTAAACAGCTCTTCCATACATTACACATGCAAATTAAACATGTCCTCACATTGGGAAGATTTTTTCGCCTCACACTTGCCCCCTTCAGATTTTGAGGATAATAGAACATTATTAAAGGAATTCTGTGAGAGACACAATCAAGATAATCAACAAATCATCTTGATAACAGTAAGAATGTGCTCCAAAACTTTTTGATGTTAGGTTTTAGTGCACCTTTAATACCACTTGTTATTTTTTCAGTCTGGGGGAACCACAGTTCCTTTGGAACATAACACAGTAAGATTTGTAGACAATTTCAGTGCAGGTACAAGGGGGGCTGCTTCAGCAGAATATTTCTTGGATCATGATTGTGTAGTTATATTCCTTCACCGGCATAAATCACTAGAGCCATTTACAAGGCATTTTACTGGTCTACAATTCATGGATATGCTCGAGTTGCAAGAGGATGGACAGAACACCACAATTACAGGTTTGCTAACAGCAAACTGAATTAGAATGTTTGTTATTTTGTCTCCTTCCTCAGTCAAGCCTGACAGTGTAGATGTGGTGGCCCCCATTTTGAAGAGGTATAAGGCAAGTCATGATACAGGCAAAATTTTGTATGTGAATTTTACAACACTCTCAGATTATTTTTGGCTATTGAGGGCAGCGTGTGAGTGCCTGGCAGATTATGGAGCAAGAGCCATTCTATATTTGGCTGCTGCAGTCTCTGATTTTTATATTCCTTCAAGTGAAATGGTGAGGAGAGTCAACACAGAGAAATTTAGTAATATCCATTTATTTATTACTTGCATTTTAGCCTACACACAAAATGCAGTCAGAAGCTGGTGCACCAACAATATCTTTAAAGCTTGTACCTAAGCTTTTGGCACCTTTAGTTAACTTATGGATTCCTCAAGCATTTGTGGTCTCTTTTAAATTAGAAACTGATGAAAACCTTTTGATTACCAAATGCAGGGATGCACTTAAAAAATATAAACACAAAGTAAACAACTTTATAGTCTATAAATTCAAGAGTATCCAAGTGTATATTAGTTTTTTGTTTCACCTCTTCAAACTACATGTTTTCTTTCCTCACCTTAGAATGTTTGTTTTGTTTCATCTCTTTAGAATATTTGTTTTGTTTCATTTTCTTGTAATGTCTGCTATGTTTTTCTCCTTTGTAGAATGTTTGTGTTGTTTCATCCTCTTAGAATACCTATTTTGTTTCATCTATTTATGTGTTGTTTCCTCTGTTTAAAACGTTTTTCTTTCACCACTTTAAAGTGAGTTTGTTTTGTTTCACTTGTTTATAATGTTTGTTTTGTTTCACCTGATTAGAATGTTTGTTTTCCTTCCCTACTTTGGAATGCTTGTTTTGTTTCACCTGCTTAGAATGCTTGTCTGATTTCATCTCTTTAGAATGTCTATTTTGTTTGGGAACATATCTAAAAGTTTTTGTTTCTTTTTCAGTTAGTGATTGGAAATATATTACAAACAAGAAGAAACAAAGTTGTCTTTGTATCACCAGAAAACAGTTATGAAATCTCATTAACTAGAGAACAAGTTTTAAATGGTATGGAAATAGAAAGTCAAATAGTCTCTAATGTGATAAGCTGCCATTCCCACTTTTTAAAAACAAACTATTGATGTTTTAGAGAAGAAAAAAGTCTCTTACAATAGCTAAATTTTTGGCATTGGGTTTTTTAATCAGAAATAAATGTATTTTTTTAAAGTGTATGCAGGGTGTACAATTCAAATATCATTTTATAAACTTGTATAGATTAATTTTTAATTTAGTGGAAAATATAGGACTGAGGTAAAACTTTAAGCTGTTTTTTTTCACAGAGAAATACTTGTGAGATTAAAAAAAGGAAACTAACTTAAACGTCTTACAAAAAAAAGTGTAATAAAATTACAGATTATTACTACTACAGTAAATATATTTTAAATAAACTAGCTGTAACTAAACAATATACAACAAATTAGTATTTGGGAGCAGGACTTTCCAGCTTGGAATAGTCAATATTTGGGGAGTAGAACTGAAATTAAAAATTACGTTACACTAACACAAGCTGGACAAAAATTCCATGAAATACCTTATACTGTTTTGCTGCATATGCTTCATTGGAAAGCCTTTCACTCTTGTTTACCCAGCCTACATCGGGATTACGTAGAGCTAATCTTAAGGTGTAGAAAACAGCCCCAGCACAACCAACTCCAACGCATGCATAAAGGGGGATAAGCTAGAAGAGATTTTTGTTGCAATATACATTAATCAACTAAGTAATTGAACTAGAACTTACTGCTTTGTGTTTTTTAAGACTGGACAAGCTCATTCCCTGCATTTTGTTGCTTTTATTGTTACTATTTGTTGAATGACCTTTTGCGTAATACAGTTCTCTTCTTTTTGTTCCTCCAAACGTCAAATATCATTGCAACCAACACTACAGAACATTTAACTAATAAACTACCAACTGTGTCGATAACCGCGAAATTTTAAAATTCTCAACTAAATATAAATTGTACCTATTAGTTTTTGGAATAAAATTGTTTAAAATGCGTAGATCTTTTAATTTTATTAATAAATGTTATTACAAAACAGACTATGCTTTTTGGTTACTTTGTTTGAAAAAATAATAATATACAACATAATGTGGATAATATTCATTATCGTAATATTTCACATAGGTATTTCCTACTGTATCACTTGTGGTGTCAAACTCAGTTGCTGGCAATTTGCAAGGTTTATGCACTGTTTCAACGTATTTCACTAAAACACTAGCTACTATTAGTGCTCTCTTAAAACCATTCGATTTATTTGACCGTTCCTGGGCATAAACTGGATAGGGAGAAAAACTAACACCTTCCCCAAATTTAGCCCTACTGACAAGTCTCCGATCAAAATTTTCAGTCACTATACTATAAACGTTTTCTTCAGCAGTTACATGATATTGCTGCATAACCAACAAAGACTGACGAGTTTCATACTCTGCTTGTTTAAGAAGAAACTGTAGGTAAAGATATGGATTTTGAACTCTGGTTATTTTAGTTATGGGATGACTAAAATCATCTAAACAAGAGAGAATCCGTCTATATTCTTCAGAATCTGGAGAAAGCTGAACTTCTATAACTTCCGGATCTATTTCTGTCCAGGTTTTTGGAAAAAACCGTTCAAACTGATCATAAATCATCTTCAATAACTTCTATAACTAAAAATTAATATATCAAACACTAACACTCTAACAGACTCTGAAAAAGTTAAATAAAATTCATTGTTTTCTTTTTTAAATATCACTTACCTATAAGACCTAAGTAAATAACTTTCTGTGTCTAGAATACCAAATGTAGACAATAATTTAATAAACTGCCCTTAAAAATCAATCAAAATAATAAAGGGATTGTTTTTATGCAATTAATTAGCGATATATTAATTAACCAGCAAGCACACTAACATAACAATACAACTCATGTATGTTTTCACTAGTATACCACGAAAAACACGTAAGTAATACAGTATTATGAACACTTTATACCATATTTACTGAATTGTTAATAAATTAATTAAAGAAGTGATTGTTTGTGGCATTAAACAATTCAATATGGTGGTTTCAGAAGTAATATGTATGGGATTCCCTCTAATCAAGGGACGTTCTACATATAGGCAACCAACATTACTCCGAAGGTTATTTTAGTCCACTAAAGAAAGAACTGCCACCAAAATTTAATTACTAAACGATTTCCAAACAAATACTAATTAAATTACATAATATTAGACGATTTTAAATACCTGATACAATAAAAAAATAAAACTGTAGTTTAATTTTCATATTGTATAAGCAATTTTGCGCACATTACTTGAAGAAAGTTTAGTATGCAGTTTAACAAATTACGAATTTACAATAAAACGAAGTTGCAATTAGTTCGAAAACAATTTAAAGTCTTAATTATGTACTAGTAATTGTGAATAGTATAATCATTGGACTATAAAATTGCATTTCTATAAATAGAAATTCGTTTCGGTTGAAGACGTTAAAAGGACTAAAACAGCACGTATCCTTCCGAAAGAGAATGATGGGCAGGAGCAGGATTCAATTTGGAGCGTAGATTTTTCGCGTCCAATTCGTATCACTCACTCGTCTGTAAACAATCGACATATCAACTCATCTGGACTGATAAAAAGTATTTTATTGACTTAAGAAGATCCTTGTTTTTAGTTTAGTTAGAGATCCACAGCAAAGGACAGTGTAATTGAAAGAGAAAAAATGTACGGACTCCTGTTGGAATGTGTCCAGAGATTTGTCCAGGTAATAAGTTTTCTAGTTTATTTTTTTTTTTTTGAATAAAAAGCATCTTNTTAAATTTATAATTATAATTTGTTATATGCTTATAAAATTTTAGATATTTTTTAGTTTATTTTATGTAAGTGTTCATTTTCGTCTTGGTAGGTAGACATTGAATTTGTTTAGCCATTAATTAGAAATCAATATTATCGATACCAATCTCGAAATACTTAAATCGATACGGTATATGAATATTAATTACGCAAGACAATAATTAATTAAACTCCAAAATTGTACACAATACGTATTATCATTTGTTACGATGGTCACTTGTTCTATTAATAAACAAAAGAATTACATATTAAAATAATATAATGGGTCAAATTGTCCGGCTACATCTGAATTACACGGTGCACGTTAAGTTCAAATTATAAATGATTAAAATGACACCACTTATTTATATCGCTATTAATATATAATAATATCAAAATATAATTTGTATATAATAACGATAAACAATTTTGTTTTATTGTATAATTTTTGATCTAAAATGAATTTAATAAAAAAGATTTTATAACCGAATATCTGTAATTTAGATTTGTAACCCCTGGGGTAAAGTGGTGAAAAGTTCTTAGAACAAAAATTAATAAAAGAGGAATTACTGCAGTGTAATGGTCGCTTACTAGTTTTTCTAAAAAATTAAAAATTAATAATTGATTTTTCATTAGATGGAGCATGGTGAAGACGCCTGGATGACGATAATTCAAAAAGCAAATTGTAAACATACTGTCTTCAACACCCATCAGGTGTATAGCGATAGTGTAATGATTTCGTTGGCTAATGCTTGCGCCGAAATAAGCGGTCTCCCGAGGGATGACGTTATGAGATCTTTTGGAAAATGTTTCTACAATATATTTTCTTATTTCGGGTAAATTGGAGACTCCCCCAACTTTTTTTTTTGTTTCTTATTTTAATAGCCATCAATAAGGAAACGAAATATTATTTCTAGTTATGATAAGACGATCAAAGCGACGGGTCGCTATTTCACAGATTTTCTCGAAAATGTTGACAATATTCACTCGCAATTTCAATTTACTTTTCCTAAAATGAAAAGCCCGTCGATTTACGTTCTCAATGTGGATAAAAACGGTTGCGTGATGGTTTATAGAAGCAGAAGAAAAGAATACACCAATTATTTTATTGGTACGTACAAATTGTTTTTCAATAACTAGATGTAAGTGCTTTTCAACTGTTTAGAAACTTGAGAAGAAAAAAAAAAGAAAAAGCCGCGTCTGTCTTTTATTGATTCCGCCAACGTAAAAAAGAAAAAATTGCTCAACGAAACAAAAAAATCGGTTTTCAAGTGTTTCAAGTTTATTCTTCCTGAAGATGCAAAAAGAAAAAAGAGAACCGCCTTCGTTTTTGTTGACGCCATTAAAATAAAATTAAGATAAATTGTTGAATGGAATATAAAATTGGGACAGCTGGGGAAAATCATTTTTCACTGCTCAGTCTCGTTAATAATTCATGAAAAACGACGGAATAAAGGTACGAAAGTTCCCAGGGCGAGACAATAAAGATTTAAAGGAAGAGAGACTTAACTAATTTACCGGCATACCAAAAACTCGCAAAATATGCTAAACCTTCGTTAAAACTGGCTTGTGTTTATGATATTTTAAAGGAAAACAATATTTAATTTTAGTAGGGTGATTTTTTTTTGTTTTTTTTAGCTCTACTGGAAGTAATTGCAGATGAACACTACAATTTAAAACTAGATCCGATAATTTTGAGTACAGAATTGTCTTCCAAAAAAGATCGCCCCGTTTTAGTGGTTCATCTTCGATTAAATTTTGATAACAGCGAATACGNAATCGTTCGACGAGCAGCAACAACAACAACAGGGTCAAATTCAAATAATAAAAGAAGGAAGTGTAGTACATAACGTGATTAAGAATTTGTTGTTAAAAGGACAAATGAAATATCTGCAAGATTTGCACGCCGTCATATTCCTCTGTTCTCCAATGTGAGTACCTAAACAAAAAAAAAAACAAAAGAAGTCAATCCGTCGATTGGTTAGTTGAAGACGAACAAAAGAAATGCGTTTTTAGAATCAACGATATCGAAGAGTTAGTCGATAGTGGGTTGTTTTTGAACGATTTGAACCCCCACGGTCTCAGTAAGGAGCTGGTTATGACAGGGTGGCAGCATAATTCAAAGTAAGAAAAATGATAAGGGTTTAGGTACATCCCCTTTATAGTCCTGACTTGTACTACAAAGTATTAGGATTCTACACGTTTTTCTTGGGGTTTTCCCTATTAAGAAAATATACCGATTTTGTTATTACATTCGCTTTTGTTTTTTAAACGAAAAGTTAAACTTGTTTTGTAGATACAAAAAAATCTATGCGTATTTTTGTAGATTTATTATCTTCAAAATGTTCGATTCATTTTGGAGTTCATGAGGGGTAGTATGTTCGGTTCGTTGTTGAATAAAATTGAGACGAAA